TATATAGATATAGATATATATATTACAGTATATAGCAGGTGCATGGATGTACATTTATGTAGTCTTAGCGTAATTCCATAAATATTGTGACTATCAAACCTAGAGGCCAAATGGATCTAGCAGAACATGACAAGATTCATTCTACGCTCTGAACCTGTCTTATCTTTTCAATATGACTTTGCACTTTTTTTTCTGCATAAGCTCAGAAAATTAGTTTCTATTTTAATTGTTTATGAACTGCCATACTTCATATGAAAAAAAAGATTTCAGGAAAGGGTCAGCCTCGTTTATGTGGAATAATTTGTAGTTATTGTGTGAACTCCTATTCACTTAATGAAATCTGGAAACATAATATAACATATAAAATAGTGACCCTTGCCCTGTCTTCTTTTCTTGTAGCCCTAATGGAAGCAATAAAAACAACAGATGCATTTGGAGTCATTGAATAAGATAATTGTACTGCAGAACTGTATTTTCACATGTAATGAAAATTGATTGTTTTTCCCATACACGTGATATTTTGTGCTTCAGCTTTTTATATCTCCTCTGTTTAGATCAAACAGTGTAATTGCTCTCCAGGTAGCAGTAATTGCACTATTTAGCCTCATCCTATACTGGGTTCTCTACTCGACTGTGTAACTGAATAAATGGCAGACAATAGCAAAATGTGAACTGCACATCCTTCCCTGCAGCCGGGAAGGATCTCTACAATATTGTCGTGATCCACCCCACTACCTGATTGACAGCTGGCTCTACCTCTCTAGAGCTAGAGCCAGCTGAACCCGCCCTCACCCCTGTCTGTCTGTCCAATGAGCACAGGAGGAACTGAGGGGAGGGGGGAATCCCTGAGGTGAGTGGTGACTGACAGTCACTAACCTCTGCAAGGATAAGCCGTGAGCTGAGTGATCAGCAGTTTGTAATCACTCAGTTCTTGATCAATAGAGCCGACATGTGACAGCTGCAGTGTCACCCGCTGGCTCAAACTATTGGGAAGTGTATATTTTACTTTCTCAGCAGTGCTCCTTTATCATGTTTTTGTTGTTTTACTTTACTTTAGATATTGTGAGGACAATGTTAGAAGTCATGTCAGGTTTCTATTTCTTAGAGACCAATTGACAAGCACACCTAAACAGACGGCTTGTCACCTTGACAAAGGAGGCCACACGGTCTCCGAAACATTGGTATATTTGTGTTTCTGCACAATGTCATTGCAGCTTAGACCTTAGCAAATTACATGATCTGTAACTTTAAGTGTGCTGGACTTTTGTTTTCTTGGATTTTCACGGTATCACCTTAGACTCTGCACCCTACTATTGGCATTAATGGTGAAGTTGGGGGATGGATTTGTGTTTAGGCTTTTATTTCTGTCTGTGATTCCATTGGATAGATTTCCTCTTACTTCATGCCCCTTTGGCAGCTGTAAAAGGAATGTGTGTGCAGTTGTCACAGGGAGAGGAAGGCAAGGACAGCAAAAAAATATTTTCCCCAAGTTCCCCACTCAATTAAATATACAGTAGTTTATGTTTTTGTCTGTGCCCATTATAGAGATTTGCTATCACTTCCTGTCCTGGCAAAATGTGAAAGGAAAATCTTCCAACAAGGACAGAGATAGCAATTCAAACTTGACGGAGGCTCGAACCTAAACCCCTCTGTGCAGAACATAATAACATTTTGAATGAAGATGGATTTTAAAGCCTTTCTGTTGCTAAATAAAAATATGTCCTTGTAAAGAAAATAATTTTTACTTGCATGTCCAGCTACTCATGCTGCCAATCTTCGCTCTCTTGAAGACTCTTCAGCATCCGACACTTCTGGGTAGTGGCTGTGTTTGGAACGTGTCCTCCTTGCTGGTTTATAAAGCCACTGTCACTTTGCCCATGCATGGCACAGTGCCATTGTGTTTGCAAAGCTCCCCCTAGCTTCAGTTATACTCACCTTACCCACACTATCCTCCACTGCAGCTGCCACTGAAATCTGAATTGTTGGAGGATAGAGGGAGCAGTGATATCACCCCCATCATGTGACAGTGCTAGTGATTGGCTGATAGACCTGAGCAATGACCCCGGGGGAGGTCACATGCTCCCCTGCAGCGGCTGACCAGGCATCTGACACACCCACAAAACTGTCAGATACTGAAGGTTCTTTAGCAAGCTTGCCTCTTCCTCAGGGAGAAGTTTGGCAACATGGGCAGCAAGACAGGTAAGTATTATTTGTTGCAGGGACTTTTATTCGTAAAGCTGAAATCCAGATATAAAAGACACAGATTAATGTAGCTGTGTGATCATCAATACATCATTAAATGTATTTTTAAATGCAGTACCAGAATCAGACCTGATATCTACCTTTTACAGTCCCTGGTCAGCAGGACTGGAGTGTGAGAGGAAGAAACAGTACAATGCATGCTGATTGGAAGAGAGAGCAGGGTAACAAGAGATGAACTCATCACTGTGCTGCTTATCCTTGCACTATCCAGTCACAGTCTGGGGCTGGTCCAGAACTACCTGGGCTTGGCAGAAGTGGGTTGAATGATGCTAGCCTTCAGACTTCAGACAGGACATCTAGTGGCAGAAAAAAGTACTACGGGCAAATCTCTGGATTAAAGGGGAATATTGCACAAAACTGTGTTTGACTTGCTCTTCTAATGGGCTATATATTTTTATCTTATTATTGGCTAGAGTTCTGCTTTAAGATTTTTTGATCTAACGTCAGTTGCTTTAAAGCTGCATTGCAGGCAAACAGGTTAGTTCACAGCTGAAATAAAGTGCCAATGCAGTAAAGTCATAACACCACTGGCACCTCTTCACTCTAGACATTGTCAATTTCCCCCATTTCATTTAAATACATTCTTGGTACTTCCCTGTACAAACTCTGAGCAGATCGTGTACGTGGAGCAAACTGAGCCCAGGAGGAAAGATGTTAATTACTCTGCATGCAGATGAAATATTGAAAATCAGTAGATTGGGGAGGAGACTGGAAGTAGGATTTTTTTCCAGCGATGGATAATGGCAATACTTTGAGTCTGATCCCAGCTTCCATTATCTGAAGGGCTCTGAA